CGCTTAAGTAAACCTAAAGGCTCGGTCAAACTGATAGTAAAAAATATCTAACATTGTTCTTAACATCGTGAATGTGATTAGCTCCATTTATATGCATCGACTTTGCTTATCCATTGCATAAAGTGCATTTTGATTTTAGGGAACTTCAAGCCCCCTTGGTTGGTATAAGACGTATGCCTATATAAGGACTTGCATGTGGAGTGTCTTTTTCAGGCAATGTTTGGTGGAGCAAACATATGGTGCCAAATTTGCTCTAGAATCGAGATATTTTTGGACTTTTCTACTCATGATGATGTATATTTTTTCATTAAACCCAACATTTTGAGAATGATAAATTAGCCCAATTAATAGGGTTATATTTAAGGATTATTGATAACTCATATCTAACCATGAGATGCTGGATGGTGAGGGCATTTTTTGAATTCTTGTTATGATGTTCAGGAAATATTATGATTTAATTGATGAGCTTGAACATGTATCACTGCAGGCAATAATTTGAATGTCCTTGTTTCAAGAAAAAAGTGGCTAATATCCCCTAAATCAAATGGCAACAGAGAGCCTATGAGGATGGTGGAAAGCGGGGGAGCTAGGAATTGGCCTTCTTCAAAGATTCTGTAATGTGGTTCCATTGAAGAATATGGCAGCAGAGGAATTGGGATTGCTTCTGAAGGGGCACAGATTTCATGGAGACCAAACGACATGATTCCGAATCGAAGTGGTAGTGCGCACCACAAGTATGGAGGGGTCATTTGCAGTATGGAAACCTTTTAGCTAAACAGAACTCTGGTCTGAATTTAGGCTTAAGAGATGTCTGGACATTTTGAATCTGAGGAGCAACGCGTCTGATCCAGCCTATTTGCGTATTACTGCTCTAAGTGAACTTGAATCCACGACTTCCTCCACCTCTTATGTCCGAGAGAATCGGCGCTTGGTACACCATATTGGTGTGTCTGGCAAATATGGAGGTCTACTGCATAGATGATAAGGGCAATGGAACCTTGCATCTGTCTCGAAGTTCTCTTTCTACTCATAAGGAGGAATCAGAGGATGATAGGTCTCCCAGACAAGCTTCGACAACTGGGCAGAAAAAAATTCCTGCATTCATGTCAGGACAGAAAACAGCTTTGGTTGGCGACACAAAAGTTGGTGACTGATACAGGTAGTTTGGGAATTATTAAATGTGTGAGTTACCAGGAAAGTTCTGAACCATGAGGCTTGACTATTGGTATAAGTGGTAATTTACTGACAATGATATATAAACAATTCTGGAGGGATTTTGTTAGCGGGGAAAATTGTTTTAAAGCTAGAAAACTTTGGATATATATGACAAAACATCCAAAAAAAGTTTATTTATAGATTTTAAAGTAGTTCTTATGTTGTATCCTAAAACTTTGAAAACTCCCAGACACACTTTCTTAAGATTCTCAATATTTTTTTTTTTTCAAACAGAGAATGAATGGGATTTATACTAAGTTCCCTTAGTTTCTTAATTATGTCAGTCTGAATTATGACCATCATGCTTGCTCATACTCTTGAATCTTCTTGGGCATTTTCACTTTTGTTGTATCTGGATTTGGTGGTTTGTACCACAAACAATTGGAACTTCTTTATATTTGCAATATTGATTTGTTTTTCATTTGCCATCAACTTGGGTAACTTTATGGAATGAAGTGGCTCATACCTGTGTTGAGCTGTGTGACATTTTACCTTTTAGGCTCTGCTCTCGATTAAGTAGAATCTTGAGTTGACAAATAATGTTGACTTTTTGATTTGTGTGTTGATGTTTGCTTCATCTTGGTGTGTTTGTAGGAAGATTTCCCTCGTACCCCTTCTCCTGTATATATCAGTCTCCCTCAGCCATGCAACGACAGATGAACCAACTGATCAGATGTCCATGAGTTACTTTGGATGTTTCTGCTATAACTTTCAGAAGTACCAGGATCAAGTGGCTCTACTGGGTGGTGGATATATCCTTAGATTCACATGATATTGCATTAATATCCAAAATGACCCCTAGCACGTCTTTTTCTAGTCAACAGGTCCTGATGGAGCAGGGTCTCTCAGAACTCAAAATGATGATACAAACACTAAAACTGCTGGATTGAGGATGATGTGTCAGTTATTGTTGCCCTCATTCGATAGAATTAGGAAGAAACAAGAGAGCAGCAGTATCATGGGAGATTATGCTGCAACAGTACCCGTCTGCACAACAAGGACACCATATCAGGTTCATGGTCAAACAGCATCACCAGGAGAATATCCACAAGTGGCATGGAGAACATCCCCATGGCATGCCAAGTTCTCTTCTATTGAGTAAACCATCAAGCATTCCTGGTCTAACTACTCTTGTATGCGACAGCGGGAACCTAATGCCATCAGGAAATCCATTTTACCAATTTCAGCCACTGGTGTGTATGCTCCACACTACAATGTTGGGGATATGCTCTGAATTCTGCATTTCCCCCCCCATTTGTTCTGGATACTACCCATGGCTGTTCCATGCCATTTGATGCTATATCGGTCCAAGCTTTAATATTCAAACTACGGCTTTCAGACAGAAGCATACCACATATGGGTGATTTGCAACATCAGAAGTTCTGGACAACATGGAATGATGCTGCAACCTCTTGTGAATCCTCTTCAAATGCAATACTTAACACCCTTTTGGGGATGCATTCAGTGCTTCAGTTCAACATGTTAGGTTGCCATCAAGTAATGGTAGTGGGCTCAGGTTGATTCTTCTATACAGAAAGAGCCACTTCTGCTGCTATATGGGTGACAGAAACTTCTGTCTTCACCAAATGGGAGTTTGGGTATTCAAATCCTAGAAAACTGGGAACCAGCGTTGGTGGTTATATGGGGGTCCTCCAGGCATGGGTGTGATGGCGCAATTTCCAGTGTCGCCTATTTCTAGTCCAGTGTTGCCATCATCACCAGTTGGTGGAACAAACTCATCCAGGTCGGCGAAATGATCTAAGGTATCCTCAGGTTCACATAGAAATACAGGTATTTATCCTGGATGGCAAGGGCGAGAGGGTAAAATCTTTGATGACCCCAAGGGCATTCTTTCTTGAAGAACTGAAATCCAGCAATGCGCAAAAGTTTGAGCTCTCAGACATAGCGGGGCGTATAGTAGAATTCAGGCAGTGTTCTTCACGAGTTGTTTCCTAAACCTTACATCATGAATGTGGTACTATCTCCTATGTGAAAATTAATTTGCATGCATATTCACTCAGTGTGGATCAACATGGGAGTCGATTTATTCAGCAGAAGCTGGAACACTGCAGTGTTGAAGACAAGGTTTTCGTTTTAAAGAAGTTCTTCCACATGCTTCAAAATTAATGACTGTGTTTTTGGGAATTACGTTCAAAAGGTATGCTTTTCAACATATTTGGTCTAAATGCATAATTATTTTAACAAATTATCTTGCTGGACTTTTGAACTCTGTAGTTAGTAGTATTGATTGTCTTGTTGATTCTGATTTATTACGTTTTTGAGCATGGAAGTCCTGAGCAGAGGAAGAGCTTGCAGACAAACTTGTTGGCCAGATGCTGCCTTTAAGTTTGCAGATGTATGGTTGCCGTGTGATACAGAAGGTGGGCTAAGTTTTTAATATATCTTTAAATTTAGTGGTAAATGGCTTTTCTAGAGCATTTGTTTTGTGGTTACTGTGAGCCTTCAAGTGCTAGAGGTGTGAGGTTCTGTTTCAGCTGATTGGTGCTGGCTTTAAAAGCTTTTAGCCTTCTTTATAGGCCCCAGGCCTCACAAATGAAAAGGGGTTTAAGCTAGTTTAGTCTTTAGAGATGTTTGACTGGAATGTGAGACAATCAACAGAAACAACATCACCCTTTTTAGGAGTAGATTGGGCAATCAGAGAAAGCAAAGTAATTTCCAAAGGGAAGGCTTTCAGTGTGGAAGAAGTACCAAATTAATAAGAATTTTTGCGGGAATATGTGGGGAGGGGGCAGAACTGGACTCTCTCTTTGAAGGAAGATCTGTCTTGTATATAAAAAGAGGGATCCTTAAGGTAGTGAAGGCATATTGAGGGCTATGCTCCTCATTGTGGATTCTATAAATATTTATCTGATTGTCTCTAAAGATGGTTATGCCCAAGTCAAAAACTATTTATCACACACTGATTTGTGAGACTGAAGCTTGCTTTTTTCCCTTCCCCTGATTTGCTGAGTCTTTTTTCCCTCACAGTGCTACACTTAGTCCTTTGATTTTGATCAAATCTTTAATTCATCCCATTGATAATGACTTTTGATTTTTCAATAAGCGGGAAATAACCATTTGTATGTATATGCAAATGGTTTTACTTACTCATAATAGCCTCAAAATTGGTCCAAATTTCTGAATTATTGAAGAGGCTTTGAGCAATAGGTTGTCCGTATAGTTTGTAGGGTGGCAATTGTCTAGAATTTTGTGTGTTAGATGTAATAAAGCTATCTGAGTTTTCATCATAGCTTTGTATGTTATATTGCTTTCAGTTAATCTTGTTATTCCTTACATCATACTACTTATGACCTTTCTTTCTTGTGTGTGTGGGGGTGGTGGGGGGTGGGGGGTTTGGTTGAGTTCTAAGGGCTGTGAATATTTCTCAGAAAGAATGATCAATTTTGCTTGAATGAGTCCAGTATAACCGTTAGTCTTCAGTTTGAAATTTTAATATCATTTTCTGTGAATCTTGAATTATTATTTATTTTATCTAGGCCCTTGAAGTCATTGAGCTGATAGAAAAACGATAGTGCTTGAGCTTGATGGGCATGTCATGAGATGTGTACGTGACCAGAAGGGAACATGGATACAGAAGTGTATAGAAGTGTACCTACAGAAGAATTGGATTATTATTTCTGCTCTTGAGGTCAAGTTGCCATCTTTCTACACATCCATATGGTTGTCGTGTTATTCAGGTAATAGAACTCAATTTCTTGGTTGTGCAGACTTCTTTTATTTATTATTGAGATCCCATGTGTTTGTGGAAACTATTATTATTTATTCTTTTTCGAACACAGCTGGGATTCTTTGTTTCTAACTTCTAGGTTTGGTTTCATGTGCTGGTAAATATTTAAACATGTGTATTTGTATTTAATTTTTTTTTTTTTAATTGTTTTTATGTTTTGATGGTTATGTTTAGTGATTGTGTATTTGAGGTTAGTGGGTTGTTGAATTTAGCTTTGATGGTTGTGTTTGTGTTTAACTGTGAGTTTTGGCTGATGGGTAGACTTAGTTTTGGTTTAGAAATGAGAATATTTGTGGGTTCTTGTGGTTTTAATTGGGTTTGGAACTTGAAGTTGAGAGAAAGGTTGAAGATTAGTGGTAGGGAAACTAAATTTTGTAAAGAGTAAGTTGGTGTTAGGTTATGAGGATTAGAGATTACTGAGTATTAGGAATGGGGATTGAGCTGGTTGAATTGGACAGTGGGACTGCCTTCGTTGTTACAGTACTGGGGAAAAATTGAAATGAATATGAGTCATCAGTGGTGGATATCAATGGAGTTGTGTTGACCAAGTCTTGATAGCTTTTTTTTTTTTTGGTACAGTAATTCGTTTTTTGTTTGTCTTCTAATGTCTCTGTTGATCTTTAGCCGTTATTGATGATTCTTTAATAGTGTCAACTCGCTGCTTCGTATTTCTGATGTTGAGTTATTTAGTTGCCATAGTTCATTGGCTCCTGCTATCATTTTTATTTATGACACTCATTTTACTATTCTGATTCCATTAATTTACATTTCATAGACTTATTTTTCACAAAATACTGTGTTCTATAAAAGCTCTAATTGAACGCATAGTGTACTTCATGTTTTAGCCTCTCTTGCCTCTGATATTCCTCATTTGTGATAAGTTATTAGGAATTGAGAAGATCGGAAACAAAACTAGAGATTTGATTATGGGTTTTGAAGTTTTTAGAAGAAACAATACAAGAACACCCATAATTTTCAATATTTCATGGGGAAATAAAGTGGGAAGTGGTAAGGGTGTTGGTGAAAAGGGATTGAAGCAATTTACTTAATGGACAGGGAGTGAATGCATCCAAAGAGAATGGAAAAGGAGGTGGTGGCCATGAATGGATTTGAAAATGTTGATTTCTTTTAGGCCTTGAGGTGGGTTGGCATTTTGATGGGCATCAAGGTTGTGTGGTAAAAGGTAAGCTTTTAGTTTTGGGTCCTAGCTAGATCATCCATGAAATTGTTCTTCAATCTTCCTTGCAAATATGTCTAAAATTTGTATAACAAGTTGCACTTTCACACGTTGCATTTCCTTTATTTGTACTTGATGATTGGTTTAATTTTTTGCCACCTCAGCACACTTATTTCTGTTATCATTGGTCTTTAGTTGGCTAAGGGACTAAGGCTTGGCAAGTAGCAACGGAGAAGTGGTTGCAAACTTGGCATGGATTTTTTTAGAGAATCTGTTTTCACACAAGTCCACTCTGTATGTAGTGAAGGGTTTTAAGTGGTGTAGAAGGAGAGTGATTAACAAAGTTAAGAACTTTAATAGTTGGAGCAGGATAAGGAAAGGGGAAGAGGAATCGTTTAGGAATAGTTTCCTTTGGAAGAGGCATGAAAACATTATGCATAGCTATAGCTTTTTGGCTCAATTTTATACTGTAATATAAAGTTCAGCAAAGTGAGTAAATTTTGGCCATTTGGCGCATTCGATGAAAGGAAGAAGATAAAAGAAATATAATGGCATTGTCTTGGACAATACTTCTTTGGCTGTAATATGAAGGAGCTGTCCATTGGACCAATAATTTTCAGTTACAGTTAATGTATTTTTATTTGTATAATGGGAATGGAGAAACATTTTTTTTGACATAATTCAATCATTTGGGCTGTACTAATAGCAACCCTTATGGAGTATTATTTGTCTTGTATCCCATTGTCATGAATAAAATGTAATTTTACCTTGAGGCTTAGGAAGCACTTAACTTCCAAAGACATTTATGGCTATGCCCCCATTCTCTTTCTTAGGCAGATTGCCTTTATGACTGACTGAAATGTTTTGCGTTTTGCCTTACCAGTGCCAAACTTGAAGACAACCTAGTTCCTTTATTCTTTTTAAGGTCAACTTGGGTTGGGTTAAGGCTAATTAAGTCAATTTTGAAAAATTTGATGTTAAACAAACCAAATCTGATAGAAAGATTGGTCTGCTTATGCTCAATTGGTTATGTAAGTTTTCAAAAAAAGAATTGAATTCTTATATTTATAATTTGATTTATGCATGCCTATCATGTAAGCATCTCGTGTACATGTCTATTTTAATCGAATAAGCTGGTCAAACCTGTCCCTTTTTTTTTTTTTTTTCAGAATAATATATAAAAAGAAACTTTTTATACCTTAGGTGACCAAGTACATGAACACTTGTACCTCTGTCTGTAGTTGCATGGTTTTTACATGGGTACATGTTGACAAAAATGAATATTTCTTGTATCCTGCCTCGTGTTACCCAACAATGGGACCCCTTAGAGTGATTATGCTATATTGTGACGGGAATCAAACCAACTATTTTTGAGAATGATAAATTAGCCCAATTAATAGGGTTATATCTAAGGATAAATTTGGATCAACTCATATCTAACCATGAGATGCTGGATGTGTGCAGGCATTTTTTGAATTCTTGTTATGATGTTCAGGAAATATTATGATTTTTAATTGATGAGCTTGACATTGTATCACTGCAGGCAATAATTTGAATGTCCTTGTTTCAAAGAAAAAAGTGGCTAATTATCCCCTAAATCAAATGGCAACAGAGAGCCCTATGAGGATGGTGGAAAGCGGTGGAGCTAGAAATTGGCCTTCTTCCAAAGATTCTGTAATGTGTGGTTCCCAATTGAAGAATATGGCAGCAGAGGAATTGGGATTGCTTCTGAAGGGGCACAGATTTCATGGAGACCAAACGGACATGATTCCGAATCGAAGTGGTAGTGCGCCACCAAGTATGGAGGGGTCATTTGCAGCTATTGGAAACCTTTTAGCTAAACAGAACTCTGGTCTGAATTTAGGCTTAAGAGATGATCTTGGACATTTTGAATCTGAGGAGCAACTGCGTTCTGATCCAGCCTATTTTGCGTATTACTGCTCTAACGTGAACTTGAATCCACGACTTCCTCCACCTCTTATGTCACGAGAGAATCGGCGCTTGGTACACCATATTGGTGTGTCTGGCAATATTTGGAGGTCTACTGCATTAGATGATAAGGGCAATGGAACCTTGCATCTGTCTCGAAGTTCTCTTTCTACTCATAAGGAGGAATCAGAGGATGATAGGTCTCCCAGACAAGCTTCAGACAACTGGGCAGAAAACATTCCTGCATTCATGTCAGGACAGAAAACAGCTTTGGTTGGCCGACACAAAAGTTTGGTTGATCTGATACAGGTAGTTTGTTGGGAATTATTAAATGCTAGTGAGTTGCCAGGAAAGTTCTGAACCAATTGAGGCTTGACTATTGGTATAAGTGGTAATTTACTGACAATAGAATATAAAACAGATTCTGGAGGGCATTTTGTTAGCGAGTTGGAAATTTTTTTTAAAGCTTAGACAACTTTTGGATATCATATGACAAGGAACATCCAGAAAAAGTTTATTTATAGATTTTAAAGTAGTTCTTATGATTGTATCCTAAAACTTTTGAAAACTCCCAGACACTTTCTTAAGATTTCTCAATATTTTTTTTTTTCTTCATAAACAGAGAATGTAATGGGATTTCATACTAAATGTTCCCTTAGTTTCTTAATTATGTCAGTCTGAATTGATGACCATCATGCTTGCTCATACTCTTGAATCTTCTTGGGCATTTTCACTTTTGTTGTAACTTGGGATTTGGATGTTTTGTACCACAAACAATTGGAATCTTCTTTATATTTTGCAATATTGATTTGTTTTTCATTTGCCATCAACTTGGGTAACTTTATGGAATGAAAGTGGCTCATACCTGTGTTGAGTTGTGTGACATTTTATCCTTTTAGGCTCTGCTCTCGATTAAGGTAGAATCTTGAGTTGACAAAATAATGTTGACTTTTTGATTTGGGTTGATGTTTTGCTTCATCTTTTGGTGTGTTTGTAGGAAGATTTCCCTCGTACCCCTTCTCCTGTATATAATCAGTCTCACTCCTCAAGCCATGCAACGACAGATGAACCAACTGATCATGATGTCCATGCAGTTACTTTGGATGTTTCTGCTATTAACCTTTCAGAAGTACCAGGATCAAGTGGCTCTACTGATGTTTGTGTGGATATATCTGCCTTAGATTCACATGATATTGCATTAATATCCAAAAATGACCCTCTAGCAACGTCTTTTTCTAGTTCAACAGGTCCTGATGGAGCAGGGTCCTCTCAGAACTCACAAATTGATGATACAAACACTAAAACTGCTGGATTAGAGGATGATGTGTCAGTTATTGTTGCCTCTCATTCGGATAGAATTAGGAAGAAACAAGAAGAGCAGCAGTATCATGGGAGAATTATGCTGCAACAGTACCCGTCTGCACAACAAGGCACACCATATCAGGTTCATGGTCAAACAGCATCACCAGGAATGAATCATATCCAAAGTGGCATGGAGAAACACTCCCATGGTCATGCCAAGTTCTCTTCTATTGAGGTACAACCATCAATGCATTCCCCTGGTCTAACTACTCCCTTGTATGCGACAGCGGGAACCTATATGCCATCAGGAAATCCATTTTACCCTAATTTTCAGCCATCTGGTGTGTATGCTCCACACTACAATGTTGGTGGATATGCTCTGAATTCTGCATTTCTCCCCCCATTTGTTTCTGGATACCCTACCCATGGTCCTGTTCCTATGCCATTTGATGCTACTTCAGGTCCAAGCTTTAATATTCAAACTACTGGCATTTCAACAGCAGAAAGCATACCACATATGGGTGATTTGCAACATCAGAAGTTCTATGGACACCATGTAATGATGCTGCAACCTTCTTTTGTGAATCCTCTTCAAATGCAATACTTTCAACACCCTTTTGGGGATGCATTCAGTGCTTCAGTTCAACATGTTAGGTTGCCATCAAGTAATGGTAGTGGGGCTCAGGTTGATTCTTCTATACAGAAAGAGCCACGTTCTGCTGCTTATATGGGTGATCAGAAACTTCTGTCTTCACCAAATGGGAGTTTGGGTATTCCAAATCCTAGAAAACTGGGAACCAGCGTTGGTGGTTATTATGGGGGTCCTCCAGGCATGGGTGTGATGGCGCAATTTCCAGTGTCGCCTATTTCTAGTCCAGTGTTGCCATCATCACCAGTTGGTGGAACAACTCATCCAGGTCGGCGAAATGATCTAAGGTATCCTCAGGGTTCACATAGAAATACAGGTATTTATCCTGGATGGCAAGGGCAGAGAGGAGTAAACATCTTTGATGACCCCAAGAGGCATTCATTTCTTGAAGAACTGAAATCCAGCAATGCGCAAAAGTTTGAGCTCTCGGACATAGCGGGGCGTATAGTAGAATTCAGGCAGTGTTCTTCACTGAGTTTGTTTTCCTAAAGCCTTACATCATGAGATTGTTGTACTATCTCCTATATGAAAATTAATTTGCATGCATATCTCACTTCAGTGTGGATCAACATGGGAGTCGATTTATTCAGCAGAAGCTGGAGCACTGCAGTGTTGAAGACAAGGTTTCCGTTTTTAAAGAAGTTCTTCCACATGCTTCAAAATTAATGACTGATGTTTTTGGGAATTACGTTATTCAAAAGGTATACTTTTCAACAATATTTGGTCCTAAATGCATAATTATTTTAAGCAAATTATCTTGCTGGACATTTGAACTCTGTAGTTAGTATGCTATTAATTGTTTCTTGTTGAATTCTGATTTATTACAGTTTTTTGAGCATGGAAGTCCTGAGCAGAGGAAGGAGCTTGCAGACAAACTTGTTGGCCAGATGCTGCCTTTAAGTTTGCAGATGTATGGCTGCCGTGTGATACAGAAGGTGGGCTAAGTTGAGGTCATATAATTGGACTATTCCTTCTGTCCCGAATTTTAAAAAGTGGTAGAAAATCCGTGGACAAAGGTGTAACAAGGCCTACTTGAAGAGTACATTAGATTACTGCAATCTCATATGCCTTAATGTTGCTTAGATTCACTAAGTAAACCTAGGGCTCGGTCAAACTGATAGTAAAAATACTAACTTGTTCTTAACATTGTGAATGTGATTAGCCCATTTAAGCATTGACCTATTCCATTGCCAAAGTGAATTTTGATTGTAGAAGTTCAAGCCCCCTTAATTGGTATTAGACGTATGGCTTATATAGGACCTGCATATGAAGTGTCTTTTACTCACCATGATGTATATATTCCTCTTTCTTTTCTTTTTTTTTTTTATTTATTTTTTTTTTTTTGTGAATTAGGGATTATTGCTTGTGGTTTGCTTCGTCATTTCTTCTCTGATGTGGAATGAGAATTTCACCCCTTGCAAAAGGAGTTTTTCCATAGCTTTATTCCTACTTCCATAGTGGTATTATTTTGTTTCCTAGTGACAAAGATGAAGAAAAGGATTCCTTCTTGTACAAGGCAAAGCACCCGTAGAAGTCTGCCTGTAGTCATCTCCCTTTAGTATATAGTGTCCTTGACCATGAGAGTATGAATTCTGATGTTACATTGATTAGCTGCCTTGTGATTTAGGTGCATGTTTGCATATATGCTTCATCTTTAGTGCTTTGTGAGGTTTCTGTTTTTAGTTGGTCAGGTCAGTTGTCAGCTTTCGCCAAAATTACCCACCCGTTTTTTGTGTAGACGTCTGATCCCTGATGGTTATCAATAACCTGTGATGGTTTAATCAACTAAAGGGTAGACTGCTGACGCAGTTCGGGAGGGGAAAATCCAATGAAAGAAGCCAAATTATCAGCAAGTGGCTGGAAAATTGTGCATCAAATTGTTGTTGAGAAGTGTTTGGAGTATGGTAATGCTGCGAGTGGGAGCTTTTGATTGAGGAGATTGTTGGGCAATCTGAAGAAAATGGCAATTTATTGGTGAGACAAATGAAATCGTAATTACAATCAATTCTACAATTATCATTTCTACTTCATTAGCCTTTTTGAGTGATGTCTTTTTTTCTCTTTGCTGACTCTTGAGGTCTTGATTTCCATGTATCAGATAATGATGAGGATCAATTTGCTATGTGGTGTATTGATCAATTGCATAAAGGTTCATTGTCAACTCTGAAAAAATACACTTTTGGAAGCACATAGTTGCTTGTTTGAGCAACTTTATGGTGAAGGTACATAAATCTCCTAGGTTATGTTATTTTTCATGTTAATATGCTTGGAATGTGTTTGTTTGCTCAGTGCAAGAACATGCATGGCTAATTGAAAGAAGCAAAAATCTCTATGGGACAAAATATTGGCATTTAGATAGACATTTTGGAGAACACTGTTAGTTTTCTAAGAAGGCCTTAGTCTTCGTCAATTCATCAACTTTTCTTTTTTTCGTTAGATTTCTGTTCAACACATAATCGACAGACTTCTATCTACATTCTTTTCAAGATTTCAATCTACATTCACTACAGCCGTTAAGGATACTATTGTTGGCAACATCAACACATTGCCGTTTCTATGATACACCAGGTCACATGCATTGATATCATTATGTATATGTAACTTCAAAAGTACACTGCACACTTTATCATGGACATTAGAAGGTCCTACGCGTACTACGGATTTGTGTAACAATTTTATTACTTCATCTCTTTATCCTCTGTTGCATCATGATAATTCTTCAACCAGAGTATTTTCCATTCCTGATTATGTAGCAAATTTTATTAAACCTCACTCAGACATTGGGTCACACATGCTGACCATCCTAGTTACAAATTCATCAAAAACCCCCTTAATAATACCAAGATCATCATAGATATTCTGAAATCATGAGAAGACTCTCCCTGAAGCTTACTAATTTTTCACAAACCTCCTTGTAGAGAATGTGTATTTCAGTGTGACGCTGTAATTAGCCAAGTTTCGAGTTGATGAAATTTTACCTTTAAGATAATGTCTTTGGGGGTGCCACATTGTTTGCTTCTTGGATTTGATGTTAAATCAGATTGTTAAAGAATCTTTTGCTAATGTAATTTTTGTTGAAAAGATTAAGAAGTCACATGCGTGTTCGATTTTATGCATGCATGAATGTGATATTTTGTTATTGATGCTGTTTCCTTGATATATCACAATAATGTTAAAAAGAATGTTGATGTTGATCTCTCATGGCGCAAAGCCAAGCCTCAGAAACTTCGGATGGATAGATGGGTGCGCTTTTCATTGGAAATTCTGAGATTCGGTGGCAAATCCCAGTTAATTGTTTGGAAAAGTGCCACTTTAGTATCTGATTCTAATACTTGCCAGTTTGATAAAAGCTAATAAGTAAAAATATGTGATATTAAAATATGTATGTTCGAACTGTGTATAGAAGTAATTAATGTGATGTATTGCTTGGAGTTAACTTTTTTCTATTTCAATTTGAAGAGAGGGGCTTTTGAACTGCCGCATACCATTTTTATATTAATAGCATTTGAAGTTTATTTCAAATTCCCATTTTCTTTAATGGATTTGGTTTTTCATAAAATATCTTTTGATAAAACTATACACTTTTTCCGCCCAATTGGAGCAAACCAAGTACAATGCAGGATGGGCAATATCTGTTTTGTAATACTGTAAATATACTAGGATTAATTCTATTTCTTGAATTAATTTTTATAAACTTGAAAGCACAAAATATTTACTAAAGTTTCTAAAGTAAACAGAAAAAAAAAAAAAACCCTTGAAATGTGTAACAATTAAAGCACATAGACCTTCAACAATAAACCCCATATAGTTGTACATATGATCCAACAAAACTCCAACCACAGAATAATACTATGTCAATAGTAGATCATTATCATCTCTTCTTCATGGATGCTAGAGTGGTGGTATTGGCGCATTAGTGCAACTCTTATAATTAATTGACACAAGAGATAAGGATTACCTTCGTAAGCTCTTCATTACAAAGTTTCCAAACGGAGCTTGTAGGAATGAATCTAGATAGGTTGTGTATGCCACATTGATGAGACCTCCAAATATATATGAATTAATTGTGAGGAATTTGGCCACTTGACTTATTGTGGAAGGTCTAGGTCTCTTATCTCTTTCAAATGGGAAAAACTCTTTATATAGATCCTGATAACAAATTGTGAGACAAATTCAATACAAAGATTCCTGGAGGATGTCTCCAATTTTTTGACGGGATTTCACCAGCTATTCATTTTTTACAAATCCAATCTAGACAAATCCAATCTAGTAACCTTCCAAGAGTAACCCTTGTAAGACTCAAATCTATTTTTCATTGTAAATTCTACTCAGAAGTTAATTTTGGATTTGATGATCCACCAATCCTTCCTCTTTGTAAATGAAATAGATGAATCATAGTACACCCTGGCATCACTAGCGAAATCTCAGAAATCTCCAAAGCGAAATCTTCCCAATCAATCTCTTTAACCATAATCCAAGTTCAAATTATAAACATGAAAGTATTTACCATTGAATCTTGATTTGCACATAATTGGTTAGCATATGGCCTTGTAGGTGATTGCTTGACAAAAGAAGAAAAATGAAAAGTTGACCGATCATTTATGGTGTGATAACCTTGGTACTGGATCTTTTGCTACGAATCCATGTTTTCGTTCAAACAAAACACATTGAATAGACATTCATTACTTAATTGAGAGGAGGTGGCTAACCAAGCCCTGATCAGCTGCTCAAAGACAGCCACTTGTCTAGCAACCGTATCACTTGAAGGGCATGTTGATAGAGCATCATCAATTTTATAGAGCTGGTTGTAAAGATAAAAATCCTTGACTAAGGTGTTAGTCAAATGCTGCCAATTCAGCTTATTATAACCTGTGTTTTAGTTAGTTACTGATTAGTTAAAGATTTAGAATTTGATTAAGCTTTCTAATCGCAGTATTAAAGGACACTACTCTAACAAACATATCTTCTAATTAATATTTCTCCTGACTGTGTTTGGATTTGTAGCAAAGCAAGTAAATTCAATAAATTGATTTTCCATTTAGAATGGTATTGGTAACTTCTATTCCAACTGCTATCGACACTTTAGTACCTTTTGGCACTTACATTCTAATCTTCTTCAGAAAAATATTTCTCTTCTGCACAGATCAAGCTACGATTCCCTTGTCACAATCTAGTTGAAAGTTCTATAGCTTCTTCAAAATCTTTACTGTAGATTTTCCTGCTATTCAATTGGAAGTGGTAATTCCTATAAAGCAAAAGAAGTCTCACAGTATGCTAGACATAAACAAAATCATTTCCTGATCACCAAGTCTAAGACTTAGCTCAGCTTCTTTCCTCTCTGCTTATTCATGTTGAGCCAAATCGGTACAAGATGGAAAGCTTCCATGGACCGAATATCAGCTTTACTCAGATACAAACTTCGCGAGTTACTTATTCACCTAAAAGAACATGGGGGGAATAATAAATGGTGTTCAAAGCTATTGTGAATCAAGGCACTCATCGGAGATACAGCAGCATTAATGGCAAAGGTTTTCAAACAACACCAGTTTTATTTTTTGAGACTTGTTAGAGATTTGTTGACTTTTATTATGACTTAGATACAATCTAATTTTTAATTCCAATTGTTCCCCTGAACAAGTATGTATTTCAGTGAAAGTTTATTTACCATATGAAGAAAAACAAAATTGTATTAATGGTCAGCTTATAATGCTAAGCTATGGAACCTGAGTTTTTAGCTTCCTTTAAAGTTCATGGTTATGTTCTTAATCAAGAACAAAAGAATGTGCAATTTGAGTATAAAAAATAGAGTAATTAGAATTGACTTATCCTTCTGTTCCCTAAAGATTACTAGCAATCTCCATAATAGAGCCTTAATGTTGCTTTAACATTCACTTAAGTAAACCTAGGCCTCGGTCAAACTGATGTAAATATATCT